AACTGGTCACTTCACTTACAAGATGATGCTGCAGAATGATAGAACAGCAGCAAGAACAGGTAACAGTATATTAAAATGTTTACAAAGATTCTTTACCTTGGAAAACAGTCAAATCAAAATGAGGCAATAAAAAATATAAAATAAAGAACAGAGAGCTTATACATTTCTGCTGCCTTTGCCTCGTAACACTAGGCGAGAACACTTCACGCCCAGCACATTAAGAGTTCTCCAAGGACGTATTTTTCCACAGGATAAATAATTAGACTCTATGGTCTATATGGTCTACAGCATCACTAAAACCAAGAAATCAGCAAAAATTTATGATATTAGACATTTTTGCAAGCATACCCAGAATCCTAGTAATCAATGTTATTGGCTGGAATACAAGGTCTCATTTCCAGCCAATTTCTAATTACTAAGAATTGCAGTAGGTTTTCCAGGACAGCAGATCTGCCTACCGCAGCTTCCTCTCTCACAAGATGACCACCTTCAGAAGATGTATATTCAACAAAAAGTACTTGATTCAGCACCTACTTCAGAAAGCTGAAAGCAAGGGTCTGTATCTGAGGTGCCCTGGATGACAAAGCTCCTATCACAGCTAAGAAAGAGTTCGCTAATAATCAGCGGACTCTATACTGAATTGAGCAACTACAGGAATCTACTTTAAAGAACTATTAATCTTTTCCCACGTACCTAAATTAAGGGGTCTATAAACCCATCATTTAATCCCATGCTGAAGTTAGGGCAAGCCAAATCCCCATCACCTAGAATGTTAATGTCTCATGTTCCTGGAGGGCCCCTTCCAGAACAACAGTGAAATTATTTCCTCTGTTACTCTCAGGCACAATTAGGTAACAGAATTAATCTGGTCTAGATTTTCACTTTTCTGAACATAAACATAGTACAAAATTGAGTTTCCATGGCTTTATGTAAAAGCCTTAAATAGACTAGAAGTTGGCCTAACCTAAATCAAATATCTAAAGCCAGCTAGACAAATTAATGCCTTAAAGCCAGTATTTCTACCCTGAAATTATTATTTTCCATCATATTTATCACAGAAGAGCATAACTGAATTAAATGTTTCAAACCTCAGTTTGGATGGACTAAATATAGATGCTGCCACATGATGCCTGCGCATTTTACATGAGACTCTAGGAAAGATTTATAATAACCCAGGGCACGTTACACGTTCATGTGGTTCAGTCATTGAAAGGCAGCACAGCTAACACCTACAGAATTTTTTCCTCACTAAAGTGCATCAGAAATTCTTCATCATCAAAAGCAAGGCAGAGGTAGGAACCTAAGATAAAAGCTAATCTCTCAAACTCTCCTTTTAAATCACAATTCATAATCACCTTTGTTGCCCTGAGGAACTTCATTAGTTGAATATGCCTGCTCAAAAACTTAGTATTTAAAAATCCCATTCCTTATACCTATTAGAACAAAAGCACGTCACCAATGATCCACGTGCCCATGCTTGCATGCTGGAGAGCACTATTCATCCTCATTCAGTCTCATCTTGTTTGGAGAACAATAAAGAGATTTTTCTTAACGCACTTGAGATATCAACAAGCCATCTTCCATCCCTGCACACCAAAACGCATGAGGAATTACAGCTTTTGGCAGAATTGGCCACTGCCCCATCTGCTTGCGTGCAGTCAGGATGAGAGACTGATTCATCCCAAAAATCTCCCCAGAGAGGTAGCACGCTGTACAACCACGCTCCTTGGGACGTGCTAGGACAACGTAAACCACCCACTGAGGCCAAAGCAAAGCACTGTGGAAAAAAGTTCAGCAGAGTACCCAACACCACTGCGAGGACTCAGCTCCCACCCACGCCACTGAAGTGCAGGCATGGGGTGAGCAAAAGCCCTCCATGGGCTCCTGCTGCGTGGACAGGGTGATGCACATCTCCCATGGGTTAAAATTGACTTCTTGAACCTCCTCTCTCCTCAAGCCTTAGGAGACTGGTACCTAAAAAGTAAGCAGGAAGAATCTGGCCTTGAGTGTCTCATACAAAGCCTCCGAAATCAAGGGACACCTTTTTGTATTTAATAGCCTCTAGATGAGGATGCTCAGAACTATGAAACACCTATAATCTACCACAAGCCACCTTAGTGCAAGCTTGCTCACTGGGAACTGTTCGCTAGAAATGAGTTGGTTGTTCATTGAAAAGTAGTATCAGCAACAAAGAAAAAACTGAAACGGATGAGCTGGTTTAAGTTTAGCAGCTTCTCATTTTAATTAGCAGGTATTTATTTATCTCAGCTTTCCCCTTAACCTCAATTTGTTTGTAGTAAGAAAGGAAAAGTAATTCTGGTGAATAAGCACTGATATTTAGTTACATAAAATATTCTCCAAGCATGAGCATTACAAATAAACTCAACCTTAAATCTGTCTGTTATGACTAATTTTAGGATCCGAGTTTTCTCCAAAAAAAGAGCATGGAAAATCCTGACACGCACACCTCTGTCTCCAAACAGACAAACTAGAAAGGGCAAAAGAAGGCAAACCAACAACTTCTACAAGCTGGGGGTGAGAGACAACAAAAGGATTTGTAAACAAAAAAAGTAATCAATTCTAATGTATATTCCTAAAGGTCTGTTTTCCTGGTAAAATGGTCTTTTTGTGTATATTCCATCTACTTATGTTTGTGTTTAAAATCTTCTCTGTTAGGACAAAGAAACAAGAGGAGTACATTAACTAGAGAAAGCTAAAGTTAAGGATTTAATTTTTCTTTTTTAACAAAGAGAACGCTAACAGAGCACTAAGAACATAAAGAAAAAAACAGGTACTTTTAAGAAAGGCTGTATTATCTTTTTTAAGATGGAAGGGAAAAAAAAAAACAACAAAAGAAATGTTTCTCTTTACTTATAGGGAGTATTGCTGGACAGCTAACCACCCACCCATGCCACCCCCCTGACTCCAAACCAGGGCAGGCAAGGCCAGAGATGTTTTACTTCACTGAGCTGTGTTGCTGGGAGCCTGGGTTAGGCAAACACAAAGAAAGAAGCCAAAAGATTAAGCGAGATGACGACTATTACCATATTTCACAGTCAAATCACATGACACTTCAATCCAGCAGAGCTATAAATCCAAATAATTTTTCAAAATTAATTTGAAGACTCCTTAGCGAAAACACTGTTTGCCCTAAATTACCCAGGACATGAAAATTAATAGTATCTCCAAAGCTGTTAAAGCTGTAGCCCCTAAGATTTCTTTTTTCACTACCGTCTTCCCCAGAAGTCTTGATACTAGATACAAAACATGCCTTTGGTGTAGCATGAGATACCGAGCAGGCCTAAAAGATTATAAAGGATATCAAAACACCAAGCACTAAGAAAAAAAGAAATAAATAAAAAAACTCACAACCCAAACATGCCACTTTTCTTCCCCCCACAAAATTACACCAAGATCACAGAATCACAGAACATCTTGAGTTGGACGGGACCCATAAGGATCATTGAGTCCAACT